GCCTGTTCTGCAGCCTGGCTGGCCAGCGGCCGATTGACTGAACGCGAGGCGATGTCGCAGTTACACTCGCCTGCCAATCGTCCGAAAAGCCGTGCACCAATGCCTGGTTGTTTGTTTATTTTGTGTGTGTGCTGGTCCATTGGCATCTCATAACATCCACCCGCAGACTTTTTGCTTAAATGAATGCGGACTAGATGCAACGAATGAATGGCCGAACGACTGAATGCAACGACGAATTTAACGCCCGAATGACTGAATGAACAGCTGAATAAATGAATGATTTAATGTCTGAATAACTGAATGAACAGCTGAATAAATGAATGATTTAATGACTGAATGAACAGCTGAATAAATGAATGATTTAATGACTGAATGACTGAATGAACAGCTGAATAAATGAATGATTTAATGACTGAATGAACAGCTGAATAAATGAATGATTTAATGACCGAATGACTGAATGAACAACTGAATAAATGAATGATTTAATGACTGAATGACTGAATGAACAACTGAATAAATGAATGATTTAATGACTGAATAAACAGCTTAATGACTGAATAACTAAATAAATGAATAATTTAATGACTGAATGACTGAATGAACACCTGAATGATTGGATCAATGAAAAAGCATCTAAATGAATTAATTTATTAACATCTGATTACATGAATTAGCAACTGAATGTGTAAATGAAATATCAGCTGAATGGATGAATAAACAGTTGGATGACTGCATGGATGAACGATTTAACAGCTAAATTAATTAATTAATTAATTAGTTAACATCTGATTAAATGAATAAGCAGCTGAATGAATAAATGGATAAGCATCTGATCAAATGAATTAGCACTTGAATCAATAAATGAATTAACATCAGTTTACATTAATGAATGAATGAATGAATGAATGAATGAATGAATGAATGAATGAATGAATGAATGAATGAATGAATGAATCAATGAATCAATGAATCAACTAACATATGATTAAATGAACGAATGAATAAATAGCTGCATGACTGAGTTTGCTGCTGATTAAAGTTGTCAATGAGCGAATGAAAAAATAAATGAAGGAAAATAAAGTAATGAATAGGTGGAAGAATGAGTGAATTAAAGAGAGCCTTAATAGCAGAAAGAAAGATTGAATCAATGGATATATGAATGGAAAAATGAGAAACGGATTGAACTAATCTATTAGCAGCTAAATAAATGAACAGCTAATTGACTATTTGCATAAATGAATGCACCAATGCATTGAATTGAGCTTGTCATATTTGAAGATGAAATAAATGAATTTGCGAAAACTGGCCTTTGCTGATCCCCTTGCTGACTGGTGAACTGAGTGATTGACTGATTAATTGTTTGATTGCAACTTTAATTCTTCCAACTGGTGCGCCGCTAGTCTGAGCCATGGCGAGCGGCAGAGAGAGACAGACAAAGGCACAAAGACACACACTGTCAGTGATAGA